GTGGGAGCAGCCCCGGGACCCCACCGGGTGGGAGATGGCAGGCGAAGGGCACTGGGGAAACCTCTCCCACCTTGTCCCGTCACCTCTGGTGTGCTGGTTGCAGGATGCCGCAGTCCCAAGGAGGGTGGCAGCAGGTCCCACAGCTCCGGGGACAAAAAGGACATCCCGGGATCCGTCTGTGGGGTGCATCTCTTGTTTCTGGATCCTTCTGGAGGCTCGAGATGTGCTGCCTGTGTGAGATGAGTCTTTAAATGACTCCTGCTTGTTAGCTGGAGATACTAAAACTAATGAGGTGTGAGTGTGTTTTTCCTTAGCGGTTTTTTTTGGAAACCCTGCTTTGTTTTTCGGCTGAGGTCACGAAGTCACCGAGCAAACCGGCTGCAGATGAAATTCTTGAGGCCGGAGAACATGCATAAATAGAAGTTTCCTGCTCTGAGAGCTCAAACATTTCCTCCCGGCGTTTGGCTCCGCAGAGCCAGGGCCAAAGCAAACCGTCGTGCCTGGCTGGCTCCTCGCCGCTGCTCGGGCCGCGAACCTGCCCCCGACCCAAGCCACTCTGTCGTGCCAGGTGTGTGCCCAGAGCCTGGCTGAGACTAGAGGGACTTGTGACATGTGTGAGACTGTCCCCCTACCCAGAGCATCCCCCTCAAATGTCCTCTGGGACACTGTGCCAAGGCACCGGCCCTGCAGTCTCATCCCAGCTGCGCTGGGGTTGCAAGAGCTGGGTTTTGCTCGTGGCCATGGTGGGGGGATGATGGTGCCGTTGGGGCGTTTGGTGCCACCAGGATGCTCAGCGGGTGGGATTTGGAAACAGCGGTATTTTGGGGGCGTTATGGTGCGCAGCGTGGCAGGGGTGGGATGCTCTGGCAGCACCATCACACCCGGCTCTAGCAGGACCCCTGTGCTGGGTCTGGGCAATAACTCAAATTTCCTCTCTGGTTCTTTAGGATGCCACAAAATCCCCCAGGAGCGGGCAGTCACACCGCAAAACGTCCAGGTAGATGCCTCAGTTTCCCCTTTTGGTGACCATCTCTGCCCTGTCTGAAGCTCCCCTTCCCAACACTTTGCTTCTACAGATGTGCTACAGCTGGGAGATGCTCCCTATGGAGAAGACATGGGGGTGATGACCCACTATCCCCAACTTGGGGTTCCCAAGACACCCCAACAGGGCTGGGAGCAGGGGAAAGGCTGCAGGCAGCCCTGCCGCTGCATCCCCATGTGTCCCAGCCCGTCTTGCTTAACCCCAGGGGCCGTGCAGGGTGGGGAAGGGTCACAGTGTCCCCTCCCCACGCCATGTCCTGATGGTGGTCCCCTCCCTTGCCCAGGAGCATGAGCCTGACTGCGGCCATGGAGAGCACCTGCGAGCTGGACCTGGTGTACATCACGGAGCGGATCATTGCCGTCTCCTACCCCAGCACGGCCGAGGAGCAGAGCTTCTGCAGCAACCTCCGCGAGGTGGCCCACATGCTGAAGTCCAAGCATGGGGACAACTACGTGGTGAGGGACACGGCCGGGTTGTCTCCAGGCTGGGGAAGGGTCTGGGGTGCTCAGGTCCTGGGGATGGGGTGCTGCAGGGCATGGGTGCTGCATCCTTGCCTCTGGCTGGGCTCGACTCTGGTGAGGGGGATCTTTGCACCAAGACAGATGGATTTTTTCCTTCATTGACGCTTTCCAGTCCCTTTTGGAGCCCCTGAGAGTTTTTGGCCATCGTGTTGCCCCGTGGCAAGGTGTTACTTGGGTTAATGTGTTTGGGGAAGCCTTTCATGGGGGAGGGACTTGGGGAGGCTTTGAAGTGAGGAAGAAGGGGGGGGTGGCAGCGAGGGAGGAAGGTGTCCCCTCACTCTGTCTTTCCTCTTCCCTGAAGCTTTTCAACCTCTCCGAGCGGAGACATGACATCAGCAAACTTCACCCCAAGGTGGGTCGCAGCTGTGGGGAGCAGAGGGGCTCGGGGCAGGGCTGTCTGCTGGACCAGCTCCCCACTGCACGCTGTTTGGGGGAGGAACAGTCACTCTTTCTATCCCACCCAGCTGGTGGAGGAGCAGGGGAGGGAAAGCACCGGGATTTCCCAAGGAGCTTGTGGGGTCTTTCTCTTAACACCCCCCCATCCCCAGCCCAAACCTGGCTGTTGGGGCCTCTTGGAGACCACCCTAAGGCATCATCCCCATCCCTGTGAACATGGGGGAGCCCTGGGCAGCTGAGCCAAGTGACCCAGAGCAGGGCTGAGATCTGGGACTGCGATGGGCCCCCCGGGGTAGGGGTCTGGGCAGTGGGGTGCAGGACTGGGGGAAAGGCTGGTAGGGGCACGTCAGGGCAATGCAGTGGTGCCCCCCCCCCGCCCCCCGGATACGGGCCTTGGGCTTTGCATGCCGGTAGGCTGGGGACTGCAGAGGGGGCAGAGCCCATCGTGGATGTGACCCCTGGCTGTCCCCCCCACCACCCAGGTGCTGGATTTCGGGTGGCCTGACCTGCACACCCCGGCGCTGGAGAAGATCTGCAGCATTTGCAAAGCCATGGACACATGGCTCAACGCAGCAGCGCACAACGTGGTGGTGCTGCACAACAAGGTAGGCCGGTCCCTGTCCCTGGGGCGCACAGTGATGGGGATCTGGGGGGGCCGGGGGGCTGCAGGGATGGGGCTGAGCAGCCTCAGAGGCTGAGGGGTGCAGGGAACGTGGTGGCTTGTGGCTTGGTGTGTGTGTATATGTTTGCATATGTGTGCACTGGTGTGTGTCTATAAGGGTTGGGGTGTGCGTGCGGGTCGGTGCGTGTGTGTAGGGACCGGTGCGTGCGTGCCCGCGCGTGCGGGATGGCCACGCCTGGGTGCTCGCAGGCACCACCACCCCCGTGACACCCCTTTTGCTGTGTGCCCGCAGGGGAACCGTGGCCGGCTGGGGGTGGTGGTGGCTGCCTACATGCACTACAGCAACATCTCAGCCAGGTGAAAGGGACACGCGGTCCTGGGGTGGCCCTGGGGCCCACTGCCGACCTCCATCCCGGCAGCGCTGGGGTGCTGGTGCCGATGCTTTCCTTCAGCCTCATCTACCCTTTCATCCCCGCAGCGCTGACCAGGCTCTGGACAGGTTTGCCATGAAGCGCTTCTATGAGGACAAAGTAGTGCCAGTGGGACAGCCATCCCAGAAGAGGTGGGTCCTGGTGTGCGTTTTGACCCCGTGGCCAGGGTGGTTGGGTGCAGGGCAGCCCAGGTGGGTGTTCCGTTCTGGGTTCTGCCCCTGAGCTGCCTGTCCCCCCTCTAGGTACATCCATTACTTCAGCGGGCTCCTGTCCGGCAGCATCAAGATGAACAACAAGCCTCTCTTCCTCCACCACGTCATCATGCACGGCATCCCCAACTTTGAGTCAAAAGGCGGTAGGTGC